AAAATGGTTTTATTTGTATTTCGTTAGTTCATGAATTTATCTAATTTTATTTACAAGCGATCTTTGTATAGAATTAAATAATTTTTATATACATAAAATTTTTATTTATTTAGTTGGAGATTTTCAAATATATATAACGTTTAATATAAAAACTAATTACATTATTTACTCCTTAAATCTTCTCAATTTTAATTTTTATATAACTGAAAAAATTTTGGTATAAAAAAGATTAAGGTGATATTAACTAAAAGAGATTTAACCAACCATCATAAAATGGGGCATTGTAGAAAACTGGCGTTAATAACTTTCTTAACGAACTATTCATTAACAATTCAACGCACTACTAATTAGTAATAATACAAAAACAAAATCTTCGATAACAATTTTTATACCAGCCTTGGTTTAGTTAAATATGGTAAGCATAACTATTAAAAGTTAGTTACTTTCGGCAAGAGTTGAGTGGGAAGAAAAAGCTGGTTCTCAATTTCAAGATGTAATTCCAGCGCATTGCACAGCGGGCCAGAATTTAGTTTTACTTAACAAAATTTATAACTAATTTAATATTAGAGCTATATTTACTAAAGTTTGCATGAGTATTAATTTAATGTCTGCGTTTTATATGAAAGTAATATTTTTTATATTGATGCCATGGATACATTTATTTTGCCATGCAGTAACCTATTTTTGTTATCTGCTGATATTTTACGAGTGCTAGATAAATTCATGAACTAACGAAATACAAATAAAACCACTTTTTTAGGGTAACACAACAACTTTTCTAAGAAATTTTGACATGCAAAACATTTTTTGACAAAAGCGAAGCTTTTAAATAGTTCAAGAAAAATTTTTTCTTGAACTATTTTTTGATAAATACAAAAAATAGTTCAAGAAAAAGTTATAATATTATAACTAATTATAAATTACATAAAAAAATTATAAAACATTATTATTGTTTGAAAACTGTTAAAGTAGTTGTAAAACTTTTGAAGGAAATGATTTATGATTTGTTTGGTATAATGTTGATTTATTCGGTGATAAATAACAGGATTACTGAAAACTAGAAGTCTATTGATAAGATCAGTGTTTGTTGCTCTTTTGGAGGTTTTTTGGGTGAAATTTTTGCGATTAGATATGAAGTCTTTTTTTCTTTTTTATATCTATTATCCCAATATTTAACTCCATAGAATCAATTAGTAATTTTAAAAGGTATCACATAAACAATATTCTCCATCTATCTCTTTAACTATATTCACTAAATTTGGCATGAGTATCAATATGAGTGATGAATATATATGTGATCAATATGATCGCATGAATATCAATACAAAATCGCACTTCTCATAAAGTGATAATTTTTTTAGTTTAGTTGCTATATATACTTATCTTGCTTAGTTACCAGATATATACAAAAAATCGTTCAAGAAAAAATTTTCAATTATAAATTACATAAAAAAATTATAAAACATTATTATCGTTTGAAAGCTGTTTAAGTAATTGTAAAACTTTTGAAGGAAATGATTTATGATTTGTTTGGTATAATGTTGATTTATACGGTGATAAATAACAGGATTACTGAAAACTAGAAGTCTATTGATAAGATCAGTGTTTTTTGCTCTTTTGGAGGTTTTTTGGGTGAAATTTTTGCGATTAGATATGAAGTCTTTTTTTCTAGCTTCTTGAGGTTTCTCTGACATAAATCCGATGGGTAATGTAGGGCTTTTAACTAAATCATGTTCATGTACCAAGACTTTGTGAACTGATTAAGCCATGTAATACCTTATAAAAATAATGCCTAATTTTTAAGTAGTCTATATCCTATTCTGAAGAGAGTGTTACCAAGATAATGTAACATCTGAATATAAGATTTTGATCAATACCCAGAATTTCAGTGTTTGTTTATCCACTGAAAAAGCATACTTTGAGGTGTTGCCATCAATGCTTGTTTTGGAACCACCAGGGAAATCAACAATAAGTCCCATTTCGCTCATAAAATTAAACTAAATCTTTTGTTTACCTTTTCTTTGGGACCTTTAGATCTTGCTTGTTACTTTCTTGTTTTTTTTATATGCAATCTGTAAAACCTCAAAAAATCGAGTCCATCCATGAAGACTAGAGAGACCATACTTGGACTCTCATTTAGTATAGTTTATGTTAAGAGTATTAAGACGTTTTTGTTTTTTGGAAAAATACAACACACTGAACAGCACTAGTATGAGTTTGTTCCGATAATATCGTTCGAACCTTCCCATCAATCATTGTAAGTTCATTAATATAATTACCTTCAATAGAACCTCTAATAAAATGATACCCAACCTTTTTATTTCACTTTTAATGTACTGATCATTTTTGATCTCAGATTCCTTGGATTCTGTTTTGTATGCAATTTTATGGATCTACAATAGGTAGATGACTTGATTATAGATAGAATAGGTAGACGACTTGATTTCTCTATAATAAGCACTTTTTTATACTTGCCCGATAACATTTCAATTTTGTATTTCTGACATCATTTTTTATAACAAACATTTTGTATTTAAAAGCTAAATGTTATAATATATATGCCACGTGGACTACTAATTCTTGTTAGTAATTAAGTTACTAGAAGTGTTGGTAATTAAAACTAAAAGTAATTAAAATACTGTAAGTCTTATACTGTTAGTAATTATAGTTAGTCTAATACTGTAAGTAATTCAATTACTATCAGCTACCAAAAATATGTTATTGTTATGCTTTGCATTCTAAAGTATCCATAGCATCCAAAAAAATGAACCTCATAGGAATGGTAAATCTCATTTTATTACATACCCCCAATATTGTGTACTTACCACAAATAAAGTACTGTTAAATCAAAAATAATTTGTTGCTATGCAAAACCAAGTTAAAACATATATAGAATCTGAACGGGGATTTAAGGGGGCAAAAAATTAATTAAAACTCAATTGAAGCATTATATAGCTCAAATAATTATAACATATCACACGGCAAAATGTAGTAATTATTAGTTATAGTGCGGCAAAAATAAATTTCTTAAAGAGTTTTTCTATAATCTGTGATTTTTTTAAGTATAACTGAGATAACATGCATTGACAAATTTATTTCACACATTGTTTTTTCTCATCTCTAAACTTTCAAGAATATTATGTTTTAATTTTTTGTTTAAAAACTGAAATATCACACAACGTTGATCCCACCGAAATTAATTATAAATTTTTTTTAATTTTAATGTTCAAATGCTTAGAGTCCTGGATACAAAAGGATTTTATATGAAAAAATTATCAATAAAATTTCTCCTAATATATAAAAATACTATTAATAAAAATTTTTTTTAAGATTAGACAAATTTTTCTCATTTTGTCTACTACCACTGGCCCTCTGTTCATTGTGCAAACGAAAATAAGTGCGTGGTGTTTTTGCCGTCAAATATGTCAGGCTAAAGAGCTGTTTTGGAACAAACTGGAGTTGACAAAACAACGAGAAAGTTTAAATGGATGAAAATTAATGTTGTGAATGATAAGTGATTTAATTGTATTATTTAAATCTGTATTTATAATGTATCTAGTAAGAGTATATTGGTAATGTTTTTTTAAAAGGTAAACAGGTCTGTCTTGATTATAATTTTGCTTCCAAAGCAGAGCAATGTAGCACAGTTGGGAAATAAATTCGAAAAATGCTGGAGGTTATAAATTTTTATTTTACCAGCTTAATTCTATTAAACTCTTTTTAAATGATATGTTTAAAACTATAAATTATTTTTATAACATTTTGTTAGGAATCATTATTAGTGTCAAACCTAAACTTCTTAAACCGCTAATGACCACTTTCAGGGAAAATGAAAGTAATATTATTTTTCTTTTAATGTTTGATCATGTCTTTATTATTAATGCAAGTTTTTATTCGATATATAAAAGAAGCAGTTATTTCAACAAATATTGAAAGTTTGTTTTTAAAAAGCTTAATTCAAGATTTACCAATAATGACATAAGTTAGATTATTATGAAATATTTGCTTGAACCTAATAACTTTTAATGTTCATATATACTTTATTTATTAACTATGCATTTATTAGAATCTCGTGTTGTGGATTTTCCTACTAATTAAACAAAGTCTAGAGGATCAATAAAAACAAAACGTCTTGTAAGTTCAATAAAAACAAAACGTCTTGTAAGTTTACAGCAGGAACAACGTCAGTTGTTCCTGCTGTAAACTTAAAAAATCTTTGTATGAATGTTTGAAATTATAAAATAATGAATGTAAAAATACTGATTGGATATGCTAAGATTTCAAATGGCTTAATTTTTTTACTTCAAAATACTATTTATAATTTAAATTAAGTATATATTTAAATTAGTTTAAAATAGAAATTCATTTAAATTAATATTTCTTTAGAAAATAAATCAAGAGACTTGCCAATTGCTAAGGAAGTTGATTTTACTTTTTTCTTTTACAAAGTATATATTTAAATGTTATGTTTGTTTTTATTTAATTTTTTCTGGCATTCTTAAATTCATTACAGGGGTTGTGTCTATATTAAAGGTAAATTTAAATAAAAATTAGATGTTTTTTACATCATTCATTTGATTTTTATACACTGGAATAAGTGGTGTAGCTATACCATCTGGATATTCCTCCCAGTAAAATTGTCACGCTGTAATGGAATTTTAATAAACGGCTTTACTAACGACTTCTCGTTTAACACAAAACGTTCAAGAACATTCGACGAACGTTGTGAAGTTCAAGTACGCTCTATGAACGTTCATAAAACTTTTTGTTGAACGTTTTGTGTTAACTGGGTTAATTAAATAACCCAACAGTGCTATTGTTAAATATGATATATAATAAATGGAAATAGTTGCAATACTCTTTGGTATATTGTTTAAAGTTGTCAGTAAAGTAGTTTATTAAAATCCCATTTCAGTATGACAAGTTTTGTTTGGGGCTTAATCCAGATGTTATATCTATTTATATTTATGAAAATATTATATCTAATAAATTTTGTTTTTAAAACATGCTTATACATTTTTATTACATTGAAAATACCCTAAATAAAATTTATCTTTTAACTCAGTTTTGAAATGTTATAAATTGTTTATAGAAGTTATTAGCATTGTGGCTTTAAAAGACAAAAACAAAGATAAGCTTTCTATGTCTGATAAAAGTGAGATAAATGTTTTTTATTAGTTATTTGGCTATTCTAGTTGAGATTATATCTGATTATTTGTTTGAATTACTGAGTTGCTGAATATTATTGCATATCATTTAGAATATCGAAAACAATCCCTAAAGCTGTTAATGAAAAATAAATATGGGATTTATCGTTCATTAAACACACCGAGTATCTGTGGAGCCATTAATATAGTTAAAACTAATGACATTTCAGACCTATATGGTGCAAATGATGAATTGAAAGATGCAGCTGTAAAGCAAAATGCTGTAAGACAATATACAATAATATATAAAGTATAACACAGTTCAAAACCTAAGCATGGAATGCCAAAAGAAAACTTGATTAAAGTTTGGTAATCTAATTGATATCTAGTTAAATTTTTTCTAGTTGTTATTTAGAAATCTAGCTGTGTCAAAACAGGAGCATTCTAGTTATATGTGACACTTTATTTTTTGGTCCCCACACGCATTGTGCTTTTATTGACACTAGTTTGTTATTAATTCTCTACAATTTTTTATACATATTATATTGTAACATTTGTTATATCTGTTTATAGATAGAAATGATATAATGTATAGGAGGAAATAATTATGGCGAAATGGTACGCAATATTTTAAACATGTTATAATTTTGTGTTTAAAATAAATAACCCAATTAATATATATTTGAAAGTTTCCGTTTCATTAACCTATGCAACAAAAAATTTTTAAAAAAATGTTATGCCGTAATGTCGAAAATAAACATAAAAGGGTCATCTCAACAGGGGTAAATAAAAATAGCATTAAAAATTTTTAATTCTTCAGTTTGAAGTTATATAGTAGTAATTTTATTTTATTTATAACGATTCATAACAAAGATCAAAAATTAATGTAATATGGTATACTAATTTTCTTTACGAAATAATAGTTCAAAATCAAACTAATTATGTTTTAGAAGAAGTCATCAGGCATCTCAGTAACGTTACAACAAAAGTACTTATTGCAGCTATAGGAAATAAGCTAAAGAATGACCATGGACAATTAAAACGCGGTGAAGCATCAAATTAAGAATGTTGTGTTGTGAAATATAAAAAGCTAAAAATTGATATGATATAATGAGACGTTTTTAACAAATAAAAACCTCTGTGCTGTAAAAATACCATAAAATTTGGTTTACAACAGTTTTGTATTAAAAACATTATTAGTGAATTCAAATTTGAAATTATAAATTCAATTTCACAGATATTAAGGTTTTAGATTAATAATTATTTATCTAATTTTAATTTTAGAAAGAATAGATAAATAATTATTTAAATAATTATTTATCTATTCTTTCTAAAATGTAAAATAATTAAACAAAAACGGCGCGCCAAAACATTTTTTGAGTTATCTTGTAAAGGTATTCGTATTCACGTTTTAATCACAAATCTTAAATACGTGATTTAAATACGAGTTAAAAGCATACTAAAAAAAAGAATCATACGCGTATTTAAAAAACGTCTTGAACTTTTATATAATTATACGTAATAAAAGTTTGCGTTTAAGACCAATTCAAGACAATTAAAATACGTATTGTATTTATAAAAGACGTATATTTTACGTATTATGTACGTATTTGTGCCGGCTTTGAAACTTATGAGATTTTTCTGCTTTTCGTTGTAAAACATCTTTCTTATTCGTTCAGAAATATTTTTTAAAGAAGTTGTTATTGCAATATTTAACTTTTAAATTGCACGTGTTTGAAATCTTTTTTAGTTTTACCTAAATCTTTTTTAGTTTAACCTAGTTTATCATATTTTATAAAAACTTGTTAACCTTTATCAAAAAAAAACATAGTTTAATAAAACGGCAGTTTCAAAAACCAAACTTATAACGGCACTTTCAAAAACCAAACCTCTGTGAATCTTTACCACAAATATAACTTTTTTATTATAATTAGATTTTTATTTAATTATTACAATAAATAATTATGTACTTTGCAATAATATAATAAACAGTTCCAACTGTGCAACCATATAAGCAGTGTGCTTTCCAACAAAATTATCAAATGTCGGAATTAACTTCGTTTGTTTAAATTATGCAAAGAATTATAGATAGAAAAGGGATTTTAATCCGAGTCAATCAATCAGTATTTATATTCACAGTAATAATATCCACATTCAGTAGTTATATCCACAAACCAGTGTTATTTATCCACATCCATGCAACTATTTAAGTGATTCTAAAAATTAATTCTAAAGCTCTCATCACTGTACTGTAGTGATGTGGAAGTTAAAACCTTTTGACTGTAGTTGGAGCCTATACTGTTACTCTATTGATGAATTATTTTGTAAAGCTTTAGAAAAAATGTATCAGATAAAAGTTTTAATAAATTTCCGGTAAAATAAATTAAAAACTTCTCTTCAAGAGTAATCTTTTTACCCAAGAGTATTTCCATTCAAGAGGATCATTTTTTATCCGTTAAATGTTTACAAGGGTATGGATTTGATAAATTATTTAAAGCTATTTTAGACTCAACATAATCAAGCTGGATCTCATTCAGCGTATTTTTTTCTCCTCTTTATTTTTTTGAATGCTATTTAATATGCTCTGCAAAGTCAAAGAGTTGCTTGAGATATATATTATTATAGGTATATTATTTGCGAAACAAGTAAATACAGCGTAATTTTCGTCATTGCACTGTGTGACGTCATTGCACTGTGTGCCATAATGTGGCAAAATCAAAGAAAAGATTTCCTAAATTTTCAAATTTTAAAAACAGGTATATATGCATTGAATTACTTATTATATTATACTTTGAAATTTAAAAAATAATAAATAAATATAATTGCAAATAAACAACAATAGAAAAAATGGTATTGCTACCTCATAAGGTAGTCTTTGTGACATAGATTAAGCTTTACTTTTTCTTTAATTCAGAATTTCTTTTGATTATTTTTATTTAATGTTAGTTTTATTTGATGCAACAATTGAAAATGCTTAAAAAATTTCGTTGTTGAAAGTTTTTTGTTTTTATTGTTAATTATTTTTTAGTTCTAATCCTCATATTTAAATGGAATCTCCATGAATATATATATATATATATATATATATATATATATATATATATATATATATATACACACACATATATATGTAGATGTGATGTGTGCGTTAGGTTTATGGTTATTTTAACATTTGTCACAATTTTAATTGGCCATAGTTTTAAAACCTGAGAAATTGATAGCTAATATTAAAGTTTCATTGTAAGTTTAAGTATAGTGAAACAATTTCCCCCTCCCTACCCACATCTAAGTTATGCTATAAAAATATTGTTGTTTTTATGACTGTTATGGAAGTATTTTATTTTTAAATTTATTCTAAAGCATAAAATACACCTAAGTAAAAAAAATTTTATTTGCTTGTGTATTATATTGGTCTGAACTATATATAAATATTACACAAATACAGAAAATAGTTAATACTAATGCGTTTTCTGTTTACTAATTTCTTTTGTCTTAACCCATTTTAATGTCTTCTTAATTTTACAGTAATTATACAGTAAATTTTTATTGAAAAGTATTTTTATTAAAATAATATTAAAACATAGAACTTTACTAACACATATTATTATGCATTTTAGATTTTTCTTATATGTCAAATAAATATAGAAAAAATATTTGTTGACAAATATTTAAGAGTATGGACAAATAGTTTAGTTTTGATTGAAAAACGTTTAACATCAAGAAATGGTCTACCCTTTATTGAAAAACCATAGGATTCATTTAATATAATGTAAAAAAAAATTCTACTATTGAACAATACAACTACCTGGCATCAATTAAAAAAAGCAGAAAAGAAAGAATAAAGTTAATTGCTGTCAAAATAAGTAAATTGTAGAACAAACTCAACTTTCCAAGGTTTTTCTAAAAAATCACTCGGTAGAAAAATTGAAAAATATTAAGAAAAAAATGACAAGTATCTTAAAAAGCTTTGCAAAAAGGAAGAATGCTCTTTTTTTGAGAGATCTTTTTGATATCACCAATATTAAGGGCATATAGTTAGTCTGGAAGATAAAAAAAATTTATAACATACAATTATTAAGTTCAGGAGAAGTTGGTCACAGTAGTAACACAGTGTCATGACATCATTTAAAAGTCAGAGTTTGAAATGCAAAAGATACAACTTTTACAAGTAAAGCTAATAATTGTCCAGTTAGCAATTCAACTGCATCAAAAGAAAATGGTTCAGATTTAGATTTACAAGATAATTATGAACAAGTGGAATTAAAAAAATCAAGAAAGAGAGTATATAATAGAACCAAGTTAGCATCAAATCTTGTGATAACTGAATCTTTAAGTACAAATAAATTAGCTAGAACCTGTAAAAACTTATTTAAAAAAGGTAATGAAATAGAAACTCCAAGTCAGACAGGAATATAGAAATCAACTTTAAAGCAACGAGAAAGCATGAAGTAAATGGTAGCTAAAATGGTACAGAAAGACCAGTTCTGCCTACATTATGATGGAAAGGAAATAAACAAGACTAAATACCAAGTTGTTATACTTCAAAACGAGAAAAGGAAAATTAACTTAGGAATTGTTAATGTGAAAGTGGAAAATCCAATGATACTTTTGAAGCTGTTAAAAAACTGCTAAATAATTTTGATGCATGGAAATGTGTTTCAATGTTTATATGTGACACAGCATCAGTAAATACAGGAAACTTAAATGGTATAGTTGTAAAAATACAAAATGAAATGGAAACCAGAGGCTTTACAAAACCACAATATTAAGAATGTCAGCATCATATTTTGGATCTCTTTTTAAAACATGTTTTGGGTCATTTTTTTAAATTGTTAATCAACAAGTCCTGGTTTTGATTATAAATTTGTAAAGAATTTAACCAAAAATTATGAAAACTTTAAAAAATATTAAACATATGAAGTTGAGCCAAATATATACATAAACTCTAAATGGCGAGATGACTTCAAATTTCTTTTTGAGTTATGTGAAGCTTTTAGTTACTTTAAGAATCATAAAAAATTACCAAAAATTAGGTGGCACAAGCTTCCTCCATTAAAAAGTGCTAGATGGAACTCTAGAGCATCATATGTTCTTCTTGCCTATTTTCTTATACCAACATGGAGGTGTAAACTTAAAAGTGCAGCAACTTTTATTGCAAACCAATGGAAAAAACTTTGCTTCAGCAAACAATTCTTTGATGATAAATCATATGACTCTATGCTTGATACATTGACTGATATTAGGTGTAAAGCTGCTTTAAAGTGCTTTATGAAACACTGAAGCAAAGGAGGTAGTGTATTTCATATTCCAAAAACAAACATGATTGCTGAACGAGGCGTCAAATTAATGAAAGATCTCCTTAAAAGTCAAAAAAATGGGAATATGCAAATATGAAATTTATTGAAAAAAATGTCCTGGGAAACGTTAAAATTAACTTGCTGTAAAATAATAACTAATAATTCAATGATATGCAGTTTATAAACACTAAATATAATTTACAATTAGTTTTATTTATTTTTGTGACTATTCATAAAGGAATTGGAAATGAGCTTTATGTGTCTTAATGTAATCTATGAAAAATCACGTTATAATTAAGGTGGGGGGCGGTATATTTTTGCAACTAGACTATCATTAAACTAGTTTTTTATTGCTCAACATTTCTCATTATATAGGTGTATGACCACAATAGATTCAAAAACCGTCATAACCCTACAGTGCGTGTAAATTATTAGTTTATATAAAATACAAAAATAATACAAAAAGTATATTTTGAATAGTGCAGTCAAGATAAACTAAATAGATATAAGAACACTAACAAAACTTACAATTGCTATTAGAACACAGTAGTCTGCTAACTGATGACTTTAAATTTTCAAAATTTGTTTTGCCCATGTCTTCTTCAAAATCATCAAGTCCTTTTAAACCCTTTTCAAGTATTGCATTTAGTAAGTATTCATTATCATCAAAATACTTTGATTCTTTAATAAGTGCTTTTAAAGAAGTCATTTTCTTTTTATATTCTGTCATACCTTTAAATAATATAATACTTCATTTAATAATATTTTTATATTAAAGTAAAAAAGGTTTACAAATACAAAATCAACAGCACAGTCTTAACTTCCTTTCTACTACTACTACTACTACTACTACTACTACTACTACTACTACTACTACTACTACTACTACTACTACAAATACTACTACTACTACTACTACTACTACTACTAACACTACTACTAACACTACTACAAAAAATAAAAAAATATTTTAGTAAAAATAATAATAGTAATCTATATTTAAAAATATATAGAATACTATTATTAATAATAAATAGTAATTTAATAGTGCTAAACTTGACTAAATATTAATAGTCTTTGGAGCGTGTTTGACACGAGATCTTGGCAACTATTGCAAACAATTTTATTGCAATAAATTTTTCGCTGTTTTTTTTTAAACAAGAAACATTGCACGAAAGTTAATGCAATTATGTAACTAATGTAAATTTTAATTTATAAAATGTTCAAACACATATCAAGTACTATAATTTAACTTTTACTTGAATAGTGTATTGTGACAACATATTTAAAATTTTGATTTTCAATTTTGATTCGCTGTTTTATAAAGTCTTTCTTTTTATTAAATACAATTGAAACGTTTGTTGTACAATAAATCTAAGTTGCCAAGAAAGATGTTTGGAGGCGTTTCTAATATACAGTGGTTCAAATCCCATTATTTACACTTTTAAAATTTTTTAAAAATCAATTTCTGTTTTTGCAAAAAAAAAGACTTTGAACGTTTTTAGATTTTGTATAGACTTCAAAAGTAGTATAGATATTGTAAACATAAAACGTTACAAATAATATGATGTTATAATCAAACATATTTAAAAAAATTATTTACTATAACTAACAAAAAAAACATTTTAAATAAAAGATTATTTGCCGTTTTGTTAAGTGTTTTGTTACATAAGTAGTTTTAAAACTTTTATTTGTCTATACGCGTAAGTAGCCTAAATGGTTAGCTTACTGAATTTCTAATGAACATCGCCATGGTTCAAATCGTACCACTTTCCTTTTTTTTTAATACAGTTTTTAAAAAAACTAACGAAATTTATTTTGATATTCTATCGATATAATATACAAAGGTATTGTATGCTAAAAATCGACGGAGGAGAATTTTTCAAAAATTTAAATTTTCAAAATACATAATAAAAGACGTTAGAGACGTTATTCTTGTGCATATGTCACCTTGGCGCATTGTTAACATATGTTAACAATGTGTTAAGGTGATTATTCATATTAAGCTACAAATTATTTAAAAAAAAAGTTAAGTTTAGACACTTATAGATAAAAATAAATGGTATGCCCATCCGGCTACTCAAAAAACAGGCTATAAAGGCAAAAAATATCAGTACAATATCATATCTTGTACGCTCTTATCATATATATATATATATATATATATATATATATATATATATATATATATATATATATATATATATATATATATATATATATATATATATATATATATATATATATATATATATTTATATAGAGAGAGAGAGAAAGAGAGAGTGAGATTTATGACAAAGTTCTTAGATAACAAATAAAATTAAATTAAGTTCTCTTTAACATTTTAAAGTTACGTTAATTTTTATTTGGTTACAATGGGTAACAAAGTTTCATTTTCTATTTTTTATTTAAATATAAAGTAAATAAACCTGACTTTTTAAATTAATGCAGGTAATGTCTGTTTTTCCTTGCCGTATTGCTAAATATTATTCTTTATTTAAATTTTATTGTAATATAGCTTGGTCTTAACTGTTTACAGTGTCACAAAAAGAAAAGAAAAATATAATTGGCAAAGTTACGTCTTTATTGTTTTTTTTTATTTTCTAAAACGTAGCCAATTGAGACGTAAAACAACTAAATCTAGATTTGAGACATAACTAAAATACGTCTTCCGTATAGATTTTTTAAACGTTTCGTTACGTCACAATTGGTTACATTTTTCAACCTATAACCCGTGTGGGATTTACCATATCCCATTATAATTTATAACCCAGATACGCTGACCATCAAGCCAAGTTATTCTGTTACTGTTAACATGTAATCTAGTACAACTTGCTCCATGTTAACGTCAGAAAGGGCGTACGGTTTGAAAGATTGCTCTAATTCTTTCATGACGGCATTTATATGTCGCTATGGAGAATAATTCAAATCACACAAGTGTGGAAACATAAATGTAAAAACTACAACAAAAAAACAAAACACATTGGACAAAAAAGTAATCCCCATATGGGTTACATATGATAAAAGCCCACGTGTATCCCATGTGGGAATTACCATGTGGAACCCACATGGGACAAAAAAATAATCCCCACATGGGTTATATATGGAAAAACCCACGCGTATCCCATGTGTGCTTTTTCACTGGGTACATACATACATACATACATACAAACATACATACATATATATATACATATATACATACATACATTCATACATACATACATACATACATACATACATACATACATACATACATACATACATACATACATACATACATACATACATACATACATACATACATACATACATACATACATACATACATACATACATACATACATACATACATACATACATACATACATACATACATACATACATACATACATACATACATACATACATACATTGAATCGAAAAAGTGATTTGAATTTCAAAAAAAAAAGATTCAAGTTATTGAATGTTTTCTTATTTTTTTTTTGTTGTAGTATTTTTGAATATTTGGGCACTTTTGAACTTTCAAAACATACTTTCATTATTCTTACTGATTGTTAAAAATTGTTACCAATTGTTAAAAATTGTTACCAATTGTTAAAAATTGTTACCAATAGTTAAAAATTGTTAAAAAATGTTACCAATTGTTAAAAATTGTTACCAATTGTTAAAAATTGTTACCAATTGTTAAAAATTGTTAAAAAATGTTACCAATTGTTAAAAATTGTTACCAATTGTTTAAAACTACATGAAGCACCAAAAAACAAGTTTTTTTTATTTTATTTTTTTTGTTGAAATATATAATATAATGAAATATTTTAACTCATATTCCTTAAATTGCTGATTTGATTCTTGATTCGATTTTCAAATCAAAACCTGCTCGATTTGAGATACAAAACACCTTTATAAACTAATTTGAAAATTTAAAAAAATTAAAAAAGAGTTAGAAGGGGGTAAAAAAACCTAACAAACTAACTATAAATATTTATTTAATTTTGAAAATATACATTGTTAGTAGAATTCTAAATTTTTAGTTGTAGGCATTAAAAACTTGTGTCGGGGAAGGAACGATAGATTCTTTCCGTGACACAAATTTTGATGGCTATAACAAAAAAGTTAATATTCCACATGCAATATCTTTACCTGAAATTAATTAAGTCTTTATAGGTAACATGTTAGGGATTATTGCCCCCTTCTAAACGTTTTTATTTTTTTTTGGAATTTCCAATTTAGTTTATATTGGTCAATTTTTTTGAAAAAAAAGACTTTTTAATCCTACCCATATGTATATGTATATATATATAAATACATATATATATATATATATATATATACCTCCCCCTAAGACTGTCACGTATTATTTGAACAGCCCCTATATATATATATATATATATATATATATATATATATATATATATATATATATATATATATATATATATATATATATATATATATATATATATATATATATATATATATATATATATATATATATATATATATATATATATATATATATATATATATATATATATATATTTATATATATATATATACATATATATATATATATATATATATATATATATATATATATATATATATATATATATATATATATATATATATATATATATATATATACTATATATATATATATATATATATATATATATATATATATATATATATATATATATATATATATATATATATATATATATATATATATATATATATATATATATATATATATATATATATATATATATATATAGGGGCTGTACAAATAATACGTGACAGTCTTAGGGGGGGAGGGAGTATTAGAAAGTGTCACTAAATGTTACATGGGGGAGGGGGTGGTTTGCTTTAGTGTGACGAGACAGAAAACATTTTAAATTAAACTGTTTATCATGCGTAATTAAATTAGTTTATAATGCAAACTCGGAGGTATTTATATATAATACTGATTTCGAGAAAAATTATATGCAACGACTTCACGAATAGCGAGCGTTTTTTGTTTAACTTTCATTTTAAACAAATTTTTGTTTTTGTAAAATGATTGGATTTGATTAATTTATATTTCCTCCGTACAAAACTATTTTTGTGGAAATTGTACGCATAAAAAGAAACTCTAATCCAAGTATAAGCAAGTATCTAAAAATGATTTATATTACTATCAAAAATCATATTTTATTTTTTTAACACTATTTATATTAATAAACTAAAAAGTGTTATTTTCGCTTAAAATTAGGTCTTCAAATATAATGCATAAACGATATTATTCTATTTTTAATGTTATTATTAGTATTACTTTTAATATTTTGTGTCACTCTATTGCAAATTATTGGTCTAATTACTTTATTATTTTATTATTACGTTATTTTTTTATATTTATGTTTTTATTATTCAATAAGTTAGTTAGATTGTTAACGAATTTTAGTATTAATAATGCTATTGTTAACATTAATTCATAATGTGCTTGTTTTTAATTAATGATTGTTAGAAAAATAAATTTATTGTCGTTGTTGTTATAGAATAAAAATGTCTAGTGAAAAGGAACAACTTTACAAATCTATTTATGAAGGATGTTTTAAAGCATTTACAAACTAACCAAAGCAAAAGTCTCAAGAAGAAACAAATAAAATCTGGTCTGAGATCAAAGCAAAAAGCAAAACATTAGTCGATATAAATGTAGAAGTTGAAAAAAAATTGAAAGAACTAAAGCA